GGGGGGATACTTTACATTTATTGCCTATTCGACAAAGCTTACAAAACTTTTTAAACAGAAAGGATGGGCTGTCCTTGTGTGGAAGCATTTTTGTTTTATCTTTGTGTATGGATGTGCTGTAAATCATACGCAACGCGGTGGAATCAGGCTCTCGTCAATTTCGGGGCATATAGAGTTATTGGTATTATCTTAAAGCTTGTCCATTCGCCTTGCTTTTGATTGAAACAATATCTATTTATCTTGGATAGAAGTCAAGATATTGATGATTGAAGGAGGTTGGGTGGCCTGGTTTCAGAGGTAAAATTTGCGAGAAAATGGCCGCCAAAGTTGAGTTATTTCCTAAACTTGAGAGCCGATTATGCCTTAAATCAACGGTTTTCAGCACAATCCAAACAGAAATGTGTTCTTTAAAGGGCGTGAAAGGTGTTGAGCTTAAAAACAAAAATTCTATTAAAATTCCCAAACCTGCGGGAAAATGCCAGTGTCTTCACTTTGACTATTTTGACGAGCGCCTGATTTCACCACGCTGCCTCATAATAAAACATTATTATGTCCTCGCGGTTTTATGCACCTCGCACAATTTAGCCAAATTTGATCATTTTTTTGCATAATTTCTGATTATTTTCCCCTTTATCATTCTTTGCTAAAATTAACAGAATCGCACAATTTCACATTTTTGGGCTTAGTTTGCATAATTTCAGATTTTTTTCGCATAAAACCGCGGGGACAGATATAATATAATAATATATTCCTCTTGACAGAGATTCAAAACAATTCCAAACTGGTCTTTAATCGTATGATCCTCCTAGGTACAGTGCCTTTCCTTATCTTGTCACCTTGGCTATTTTGTGACCATTGAGTGTTTGTTCATCGTTAACGTTAAGGGATTTAGAAACAACACGCAAGATGATCATCATCATCATCATCATCGTTGCCTTTCTCACCCTGGATCAGGATACAGGCCATAAAGACGATCACTTTGGGGGGGGGGGGGGTTTGTTTGTCGTTGTTTTTGTCGTTGTTTTTCTTTTGCGCACGCAGTGGAAAAAAACAAAGAACAGACATGCAAAGCACAGCAGGCCAGAGCTGTGGTTGGTCGGAGGGCGCCACTAGTAGTTCCTTTTACTTTGTTCTTCCCTTGTGTTGTTTCTGTCTGTGAGTCTATTGTTCTGTCTGTCTGTCTGTTTGTTAGTCTGTCTGTCTGTCTGTCTCACCTTCATCCCGCAGAAATATTGCAGTTACTGTGTTGCTATGCTTCTCTAATAATAAACAGAAAATACATGAATTGCCTGATTAAAACATTCCGTCTGCCCTAAGTTTATTTGTTTGTTTGTTTGTTTGTTTGTTTCCTAGAATTACATTCAAATCATAGAATTATAATAAGATAAGTGCTTAAGTGCTACAAAATGTGATGATCTTGTAAAGATTGTTTCTAAATCAGCTTTACGGGTGCGGTTTGTACAAAGTAACGTTATCATTAATTATTCATCGCTATGATCGTTGGGTTGTTGTTGTTGTTGTTGTTGTTGTTGTTGTTGTTGTTGTTGCTGTTGTTGTTGTTGTTGTTGTTGCTACTACAAGTATATGGTCTATGTACCATCTGTATTTTTTTGTGCAGCCTTCTGTGAACAAAA